AAATGTCCTTTCTAGTTTGGTCAACTCCGCAATATTTTGCTCTCACTGTCCAATTTCTGAAGAGGGAATGATGAGTGTTCGTGCATCATCATACAGCGGAAAAATACATCATCCTACGTGCTCTATATAGTAAATATGTNNTCATTACTTCTAAGGCTGTAATTTTGACGATACTCCTATCCATAATACATTTTTTTGGATATATTCCATTGCCGGTTGTGCGAGATCCGTTATAGCTGTTTCACTTTGAACCAGCAGAGCCTAATATACTTTTGAGAGCCTCAAAGAACCATTTTGTGCTGTCTGTAAAACCGAATCGGTTGCTTAGTTCATCAAATAACTTCACCCTTAGACGTCTAAGGATGAAGTTATTTGATGAACTAAGCAAATGTGAAGATGCGATTTCATAGTACTTCCCTCCCTCAAGTATAACTATATGTCACTTTCTTTTGGCCGTTGTAAACCGTAAATTGGTCTTCCCTAGTATCTTCTAGCGTGATTGTTGATAATGTTATCAATACAACTTAGTTCACTGGACTGTGTACAAAACAACCGCTGTTGAGTAATTATGAAGAGGTTTTCTCTCTTCTTGTTCTTCGCTTTTAGCACTAATCTATTGAGAAGCTTCTCAGCTAACTTATATGTATAACTATATCGGGTCCTTATGTGATTCACCACACCAAGTCCCGGGACTTAGGTTACCGGTCTTCATCACTTAACAGGGGATCCTCGCGACTCTGGGGCTTTCCCCGTCTGCTGTTCGTTACACGACAGTGTGTAATAAAACAAAATTCACCTCTCCCAATTTATTTATATAGTTAGAGAATTATCAATCAGCCACATGATTCTAATTTTTCCATCTGATCTGCATTGGGCTTCAAGTTGTTTAAGTGCTGGGAATGCATATTTGGGTTTTCCGGCTCCTGGATCCTTGTGGTCTCTCCATTGTCAACAAAAAAATTAACTGAATTATATTCGTTTCCAACCCAATTAATCATACGTAGTGATCTAATAGATTGTACTGAGTATTTGGGATCACTCATATCCATAAGCGTCCGTTGGCCATCTCACTGGTTGAATGGTTGAATGAATATTCTCTAGCAGACAGGATGCGGTTTTAATTTGGTTTGTGGGCATATTTTTCCTTTTATTTTTTATCGTTTGCTTGTGACGTTTGTTGGCCTTATTGAGGAAAATTTCAAATGTTTTCACCACGGCCTGTCGATTAACAACCTAAGACATTGTATTTCCCCTATAGAAGTATCTGTTAAACTGTCTAAAATACCCATGCACACATGTGCGGAACCGGTACCACTTATATTTTGCAGGATTATCTATCCGAGTGTCAATGTCACATTTCAGCATGTTCTGTCTTTCATTCTCCTCCCCTCCCGGTTCACTATGAATAACAGAAACGTGACTGTTTCTGACTTTGCTCGAATTCTCTCTGGTCCGGCATCAGATATATGCTAAGTATTTCAGATTTTTATACATAGAAATAGCTTTTGTTGTCTAAGGAAGTGTTCTATTTCCCACTCTCTAACCCAAAGACGTAATGCTTTTTATTGATATGAGTACTATATCTTATTACTGTTTATGGTCCGTGATGCATAATTCGTAGCATCCACAACTTATTCCACCCACGAAAATCGTTTACTTCAATGATTTCGGATTCATCTCGTTCCTTGTTTCACTTGTTTACCCCCCCCCCTCGCCCGCCATTGTGTAGCTATGTTCCATGTTTCTCTATTCCATTCTTTCTGATAAACCACAACGGAAGTTCTTTTGACAGTTTTCAGTGTTTTTAGATTTTTCAAAGTCGAAGGTTTGAAATTTTTCTATTCGTTATCTGTTTCAATGGAAATATCAGTTCTGCATAATCATCCGACATGAATTAATCGTTTCCAGTTCACGTTTCAGAATGCATATTCTAGCCAATTTCACTATCCTGTAGTTTCAGTATTAGCTGAAATGTTACCTAAAAATTGCTTGCCTCATCATGGATGAGGGAAACGCCACGGGAATATGGTCCATTCGTGGCTCATCTTCCCCTCTTATCTATTTGTTGATGAACTTAATTTGTAATCACTCGCTATTGATTGTGGCTACATGCACCCGGTTCTCACATTGTTTTGTGTTTGCAGACAGAATGAACATCAAATTGAAAACTATGATTTTATTTGATATCACAAGTGGGACAACTACACACTCAAATTATTGTTTAGCGTATTGAAGACTTTGGTGGAAATTGTGCAAAGTTCAGTAGCCTTTGCAGGATTGGAATCCACCCATGGACAGCACACACTCTACCAGCTGAGCTACGAAGCTACACCGATAACACTGATCTTTTCACATTCAAATCAATCATCCAACTTGCAGAGGCCTATAGCGTGCGTGGGTTTGAATCCCACCGAGGCCCCTGAACCTTTCACAATGTCAGACTATTACACACCCCGATTGAATTTGTCATCTCGACAAGTTATCTGGGTCAACTAAAACTTTTCTTGTATGATCTAACAAAACTATGTCTGTCAGTTTAGGCCACATATCGACTTAATCGTCTGAATGCACTATGTGCGATTACTTGACGTGTGCTGTCGCAGTTCCGAGCATTGGCTCATTTAGGTTGTGTAGCTAATGGGCCGTTTTAGACACAACGGCACTCATGAATGTGCGTCGGTGAGACTATGAGAAAAAATGCGATCGATGGAATTTGCGTGTAAGTTATCACCACAGTTCTGTACAAAGATTATTTTGGATCACGTGAACAAAAAACTGATTGGTTGACGGTTTAATGCACAAAACAGTGGTCTGAGTTCAGCGTTAAAATAGTTCAATTAGTATATATTTGTTTATCTTGTGAGAGTAGCTAAATATTTTTTTATCAAAGTAAACTGCAACTATCTAATAATTAAATAATTATTTAATTAATTATTCAAAAGCAGAATGATTAGATGTTAATCCAGCTTATTTTAATTTTCATCCGTATTAGCCTGAGGGAACACTCAACTAGATGGCGATTCACCATGGAGCTCTGTAATTTGGTCTAAAGTATTAACTGACATGACGTTCTATCACGGTTCGTGCTCGTAAACGCATTCTGCTAAGTGCTATTCCTAGGAACGCACCACGAAAGATTCGAACAAAGATATTTACTTCCAATACAGTGATAAATATGGTTTGTGCCGTATCGTGCGTGAACCTGAGAGAGAGAAATACCCGGGATGGATACTTGGTAGTCCATTAGGCAGCATGCTCGAAGTCCACCTATCAGGTCCCGATTTCGAGTCAAATGGAGAGTCTCGATATATTTTCAATTGGTTTCCTTTAACCTATTTTGAATAAAACTAATCGACCATGAACATTGCCTGCGTTATCCAGTTTCAAGTGTGACTCATAGGCTACTTTTGTAGTTATAGTTGTTGTTGTGAATGAAGGTTATTCCGTGCAATTAGTGGGGCTCTGCTCATTCTGATTGAGCATAAAATGCATTGTTTCTGTTTATAATATTTTCGGGTCCATATTAATGCAAATGATTAGTTGATGATCCCGTCCGTTTTTCCCTTCCCTTCTAATTCTTGCTGATTTTCGAATTCCTAGAATCGATAAATTAAAAAGGCATAGATCCGGATAAGGCTGGACAATTCATAGACTGTATAGCACATAAACATGACAAAAAGCTATGTTTAGTTCTTTCGGCATGATCAGTGTCATCTATCCTCAATTTTGAAACCACCTTCAAGAGCGACATTTGTTTAACGCCGCTACTTTAATTCAGGTCAACCATAAGGTAAGGTTTGCTCAAAATATTGAAACTAATCTGCTGGCGAGTTTTACAATCTCACACAAAAAATAGTTAAATTTCGGTCAATGCTTTTTCAAATCTGTGTAAATTTATTTGCTTTGGTTTTTAGTGAAATAAGTTCGTGAGAATAATGGTATCTGAAAGTCTTGAAGGACCTGTCAGTTCATAGAGTAGCTAAATGATTTGATACATTGGCTTTAGTAGGATTGTTTAACTGAAGCTGATTAACATATACGACCGATGTAGGACGTTTCATATAGCACCGCCGGAGACAGTTCTGACATGTCTATTGTGGCCATTTTTCTGTATATTTCCTTTTCTGCTCCCTCGGAATTACCAGAGAACATTGATAAAAATTAAAACAGTCAAGTCCACTAATATTTGTCGGTAAAATGGTGAGAGATAGAGTGAATTGTAACCAAATGTGAATGACGGATGTTCTGAATATCACTTGACCCGTTTTTTTCTCATACGTAGATACCCACTCTCTCAACAAGGATATGAAACAGAAAACTTCACGCGTGTCACGATAATCCACAGTATATTATGTACAAATGAAGATGAATTGTATCATTATGTATAGCTTTCCATGAAAGCGAATAACTTTCTAAGATCGTGTTCGCTTCGACTCACTGGGGTTTTCTTTATAGTTTTGAGGAATACCGGATTGTCAGAAAGCTGAACCGATATGATAATTGGCAACTTTCCTGACAAAAAGAGACCAAACCTTAGATTAGGAACCAACGTATAATACTATTTTGCTAAAGAGCGGTTTATTTCTACGATTCCTTGAAATTAGGTTGAAAGTTTTACCGGAATAAAGGAAGTCAGTACCTTTTAAATATAAGAATGAATAACGAACTTTACCATTTGTATATTTTGATAGTTATAAAAGATTCATTTTGTTCAAATTACCAAAATTTCTGATACAATAAACTGAAACGATAAAATTGTTGTCGAAGCTGTTTGAACCGTTTTGCATATCAGTATCCATAGCAATCTGTGAATTGAACTAATATTGGAACTTAAGATCGTTCTCATTAGAGAAGTCAGCAGTCAATCACTTTATTTTGCAGTGTCTATTCACGACAGGACACAGTGCATTTTGGAAGCCTATTCCAAGCTAATGTGCGTATACGTCTCAAAAGCAGCAGCAGAAGCAGCCTACACAAATTCATAGTCGGTCAGAAATATGCCAAACAGGTCCGAGTTGTGAAAACTACTTTGCAGCCTCCACTTTGATCGGTGGATGTGTGTTGTTGGTTCAAATGTATGCGCGATGGAAATTATGAAGTCAACGCCGGAAAGGAGTGAACGTGACATATTAAAAGCTGAAGCAGTGTACATGGAATGAAAACACTCTCTTTTCTAGGGTGTATTTTATTTGAATTTGAAAATTAAGCAGGATCTGAGCCAAGCTACAGTTAATTGTGCTTGACTTTCGTGAGACCGTGAGTTTGCACCTGAAAGAGATTTCTCCAGTGGAGGTTTTCTCCCATTGACAATCAATAATTGTGGTACAGATCAGAAGTATCAAGCGGATAATTGAGACTTAAGCCGTCACACATCTAGGCTTGTTCTAGTGTGGAATTCTTTATCACTCTAAAATAGGATGTGTACGCTTGGCGGGCTGGGACACGTCTTGTGCGTACAGCCTGTGGAGACCATGTTTGAAAAATGGTCATAGACATTGAGTACAGTTGGTTCCTCCGGACTTTGATCCAAATGACTGTAACTGATTGGCTGGAAACAAAATAGATCCCACTACAGAAGTGACCTTTTTGCCGTTTTCGTATCACATCAGAATATCTATGCATAAACAGCTATGTTTTGTCCTCTATGTTGACAATATATATTTATATTCTTTCATACCTCTTAAAACCAACAAGCCCCCTCATCTAACATGCACATTCTCACTGTGCATATAGCATGAATACGGAGCGGTAAGTGAAGCCCGCTTCATCGTCTTTCCCTGTAGTATCGTGTATGATCTAGTTGGCTTTCTCCCTTTTCCACTTGAACGTTTCCCTGATCGATTAGTACTGCTGTGATGAATCTGGTCAGGATACTCATTTGAATGCATTTCGAAATTTCCGTAATAAGTTATCTAACTTTTCTTTCAGCAATTATGCTTGTCATATGTACTGGAAAAGATTAGTCTCCATATATATTTGAAGTGTACGGGGGTTGAACCAATCAAACTATTGAGGGATTTTTCACAAAACAAGCTATTCTTAAAATGGGTTTCTTGTGTTTCACACCTAAAAGGACTATAGGATCATTGTAGAGGCTATTCAGTTTGAACACTTCCGTTTGTTTTAACTTTCAATATCAAATCGAATTGCCCAGCTATTGATATAATAAAAATGTAATAATCATGATAACAAATATTTTTCCTTTCTTTTGTGGTTATTGAGCATAACAATGGACAATAGAATTTTGGGAATTAAACTGCGGCCATTTAAAGGATTCCTATTAGATTATAAACCGGAATGGATGGCGGGGTCGGGATTTGAACTCAAGGCCCAGAGGTCGCTGTCTTGATGATCCTGACCATCTGACTACCTTCTTGCTGACTGCGTTAATCCCAAGGTAGTATGCACAGAGAATTCATGCGCCTGAGATATTTACGATTCACAAAAGGTAGAAACAATCATTTCAGCTCGACTGAAATCTTTGCTATGGTAATTATATTATATTCTTTCAGATTAGAAAATTTCTCAATGCGTCAGGCCAAATCGGTTAGCTCTTTGGGGCTGGGCAAGGGAGCCTGCTAAAACATTCATCAAAATCGGGAAAGGTTTCGGGTTATATTAGTAATATTACAGAGCTGCTTGTTACCTTTCCTCAAACTTAAATCATCAGAAAGTGGCTTGTGGTTATAATTGTTTTAGTTATTATTTTATAGTACTTCTAAGATTTAGGCAGCAATAATATGCAAAAAACGCCTAGACGATAACTCACTTCTGTGCTTGGAAAAGTTCAGGTGCAGCATACGCCGGGGACCCGCAAAATGTGGTTAGCGGTTGGTCTTGTGTTAAAGTCAATTTGCTGAACCCAAAATCTGCCAGTTTAACTCGATAATGTTCCGGGCAAAAATCTGAAATCAATGGAGCAGAGTGATGGAAAACAAATCGTAGGAGACATTCTAGTCTTTTAGCGTTCAGACGGATTACGGAACTGCTATGCTGTTAAAGTAGCTCACTATAAAACGATTGAGGAACAAAATAAAAACAGTAGTGTATGCCAAGTCTGAAAAAACTAGGAAACACGGTCAATTGCATTCCCCCCTCCAGCGTTGCACTGAACAACACCAAACACAAAGACAACAGCGACAACACAACTCTGTTTTCTCCACTTGCACTAATTGATTTACTTTTGACCAATTTATTTTATCTATTAAGTGCTATTTCGTATGTATAAAGGAAACCGATTGTCAGTTGTTTGCACTTAGTTGACCGTTCAATGTGTCGGATTGACCGTATCACTCGTTGGTCTAACTACATACAGATGGATAGCGACAGAAGGTTTCTTTCATCGGCAGAGATTTTCCCGCGGTTTTCTCGTACTTGCTCAAAACAACAAGTAGGAGCACGGTGAGAATCAAATGATCAGATGTCTCAAGTGAATGTTGCTTTTAAGGTGGAACGTCTTTGTGAGGTAGTCAAGTTTATCACCGTCAGATATTTTTTATTCTGTCTGCACTAGCTTAGAGCTGGCTAAGATTTCCATACTATTCTTTTCGGAAATAAACCTCACTAGCGTTCTCGATGCAGTTGGATTCCTAGTTATCTTTCCATTGAATGAACACACTCAGATCTATATTTATCGGCTAATACATTGATTATCAGTGCCATTGATGCTTCAACATTTGTTAGCCTTATTGGACAGTTTATACACATCTTGCTTTGGCTTACCTTTCGGCTGCAAAGCGGAATCTCGTAGCAGAGAAGATGAGTTATGCTGCTTGATCGGGTGATTTTGCCGAGCGTCCAGGACAAAACTAGCCATATGGCTTCTAACCTCAGCTACGATGATTTGGAGATACACAACATGAATTTATTTATCGCTGAAACGTATATTTAAGTGCTAACAATTAAAATTTACTTCATTTCTTGAACACTATATAACTTAGACCCAGTAATTTATCAGTTTCGTTATTCTAAATTAGATGTATCTCAAAGCTGCTTGTGAGTACGGTTGGTGGTTCAGTGTACTTGGCTTTCATCAAAAATTGTTCAGACTTCATCTCCCTTCATAGTCGGCAGTTTAGGCAGATAACCAAATAAAAGAGAGATATCAAAAATCTGAGTTTTGTCTTCAGTGGGGCTCAACAGCAGCGTACCTATATTGGCCATTATGGTATTCAAACTCAGTTCACCTCCAAAAATGGCATGTAAGACTGCCACCACAACTAATCCATTCTGATGTTACCAAGGCTTGAATGGAAGTTTGTAGATTTTGCTTTCGATATGAATTACTCGGTTTTGCCGAGAAGATCCAGATACAGTTAGGGTTATCTGTCAACGTAAAATGGAATTTATTTTATCAAATCAGGTTGGGCGGTCTCAGTTAATCTCGTCAGAGCAGCATTATTAACGATTTGCAGAATACGTGTTAGGGGTTTTGACCATTCATCATTCGCATTTTATCTGCAATTATCCGTATACCATTATTTTTTTCGCCTTGTGCAAGCTGTTTGTGTTATCAATGCATTCAATATCGAAGCACTGAATTTCCTGCATACCCCTTTTATCTGCGTACCGTTGCAAGATTTGAATAACAACAGAATTACTTTGATGATAAACCTCTCTTTTGATAGAACTGGAAATAACGTTCGTTTTATTATCGGTCACAATGTTTGTATTTGGGCCGCGAGAACATACCAAACGTATGGTCTGGTTCAACTGGTCTATATGGGAAACTTAGGTTTAGTGCAGAAAAATGATTTGAAAGTGCTAAGCGAGAAAAACAGATCAATGCGTAACAGGTGAATTTGGAGCTAGTTTTGTCTGGAAACACCAAACAGCGTGCATGCATCAATTCACCAAGCGAACGCTAGAAAGTGACTCCACGCAAGGCTAAACTTTGAGTGATAAAATCGATAGATCAGAATAAGGACTCATTTGTTAGTTCACTTAAATTCACATTTTTATCTAGCGAAACATCATTCTTTTGTCCAGATTAGGTGTAAAGTAAGTTAGGGTTACGGAGAATCGAAGTATCCCGGTTGCAAAATCAGTAATCATATAGTGAAACTAAAATCCTTTTCTTTAGAATTTAAACAGAAACGTGAAAAAAGGTAGTACGATAAAAGCAATGTTTGGCAAAAACATGATAGGCGTTTCCATAGTTTCCTGCCTTGACGACGAAGATAGACTGGGATTATATGAATGAAATAAAACATCAGAACTCACAAGTTTAGACAGGGCTGGCAAGTATGTCTAGTGGCAGTGTATAATAAAATTTATGGTGTCAAAGAACCTTCTTCACTCACCTATCCTATTGTCGGTATTCGATAAATATTTGGTCAGGGGTTGCAAGGTGGGCAGAGGTATAGACGTATAGAGGTATAGGGATGGAATAAATTTAAACCTCAATCTTAATGGTAATGTGAATGAATTCAACCCATCTATCACCGATTTGCCAAAAACGAAAGATTCAACAAACACTGCAATTGCAGTTGATCAGTAAGGTGTAGTTGCCTCTGTAATATCTGTCGATTACTGTGCACGATTCTCGTCTGTTTCTGATAAATAAAATATGAGAGTGCATCAGGAGTTATTGTACACGAACTAGTCAAAATCACAAACAACACAGGTCAATTTCTGAATTTTCCTATAGCTGACATAACTATACCTTTTTCAGTTTAAAATGTCCGAGTATCAATTAAAGATGTCATATTGCTATGTGGATAGTACTTTGCACAGTACAGAGTGAAAATATAGCAACACGACATATTTAACTCATATTGTGACATCTTAAATTGGATTTCGGACATTTGAAACTGAAAAGGTATAGTATATAAAAGTTACACATTTATAATGACTGACTATGTCCGTGAGGGTGAAAGAAGAATTCGACCTACTCTATTTGAGAAGCTGACTTTTTGGTGGACAATAAGTACTGATCCACCGATAGATTCTCAAAGTTTACTGCATATGATTACCTTGTTTATCAGTGCAAACAACATTCAGAAAAACAGTCCCACAGCAAAACGTTCGACCGGATAAAAAGTTGTCCTTTGCCCGTGAACGAAGCACGAAATGCTCGAAAGACTCAATCAAACTTATTTGAATTCACTTAACCATCCGGCTTTGGTTGATCTAGCACAGCTAAACTGAGGTTAAGAAAACGGTTTATCGCCAGAGACGTAATACTAGTACGTTTCAATGTTAGCATCAAACAAACTGAGGATGCCGGTACCGTGCTGTCATATTCAGCGAGTGGCTGACAGAGCGAAATGTGTCGGACCAATCTCGGTAAGGATAGGTTATTCTGAAGCAAACCGATGCAGCTGGTTATTCCACACAAATGTGCAACTTAAATGTTTACAGTGCATTGATCTCTGGATTTGGGTTTCTGAATGCAAAACAGAAAGAAAACTATTACCTCCAGCTTGTTGGCCCTGAAAGAGATGTCCATCCAAAAGTCACCCGGTGTTGCAAACAAGGTTATTGTGACGAATATATATATATATATATGACAGTTTTGTAAACAGTAACTGCAGTTACTGCATCGAGAATATCACTTCGATTGGTGATGAAACGTTTGCAATACAATTGCCAAGCTCGGCGAACAACTGAACACCATACATATATATAACAGATGTATGTGACGCCACCTACCTACCTTATGATACTCACTTTAATTCAAAAAATGTGTGAACGACAGTTCCTACCACGCAACAAAAGAGGTACTCTTATCAGGGACGGGAAGCACGCTTTGTAATGTATTAAATCATCGAAAATTGGGGAAATAACTGTTTTTTTACATGATCCGCTTTGATAAAACCAGAGGATATACTTGCACACATACACACAGATAAACATGGTGAGAGGAGTGATGGGGGCCAAATCGAAGAAGACAGCTTCAGATTTGCTTTTCACGACTGAGTAGTTGATCCTTATGAAAACTAATTACAAGCTAGACTCCAATTAATTATTACCGCATTCGTTTTTAGAAACCATACGGAGCATTCCCGATTGTTCCTGACTCTGCTTTAGTAACCCAACTTTCGTGGGCATGACGAACACAGAATAGTTTGCAATCAAACAAAAGAGCTGAGCTTAAAGAAAATTTAAATCTTCAGCTGAACCAAATGATTATGGGTGTTGTGGAATCATTCAACAAATGCGATCAAGTTGAAGTTAAATCACAAAGGAGATTTCTTCTTTTACAGAACAAAGAAAGCATGAGCTGAAACTCTTTGATGCATTAGACAGCTATTTTGACCTGGATGGGTCTCATCAACAACAGGTCAAATTCAAGAATCCGACTTGGATTCGAACACGGGACCTCGTAGGAAGAACGCAAACGTACTACCTAGTTAATCACCATGCAGCTGACTGGAATGTTTTCTTTTTCTGTGCATAACATAGCACTGCCAAACCCAAAAAATTGAAACACTTGTTGCTGTGTTTCCTAGCTTCTCAGTTTCATGCTTAATTTGCCCTGTGTACAACTACTTCTTCTAAAATTAATTAAAAGGATTCACTTATCTCACGAAACGGAACTAACTAAGCAAGAAACCACAAAAAATACAATGCAAAGTTTTGTTGTATTTATTAAGTGGTACAAATAGAATTCTTTCTTTTCATACACAATTCACGACAACGATTAAACCAGACAAGATCGTTGGAGGTGCGCAGGTTTTCCAGTTGCCATTGTGTTTTGTTGAGGGTTAAACTGATTTCCAAATGGAAGCACATACTAATAAATACACATGGAATACAATATTTTGTACATTTGTACTGAAAGAACAGATGAAATCCTGTGATCGGCATTTTTATTGAGAGACCATGTACGGGCTCTAGTGTGTGCGTTTCTCCAAAGTGTGTGCTTGCGAGGACTCTGATCCATCGAATCCGTCACTTCATTTGCCTGATCGGTTAATATCAGGTCTAATTGGCCTAAAATAGTTAAACAAATTGCTATTAGCTGTGTAGTAGTTTGTACGCCCGTCTTGGTCATTTGCTGAACCCGTCATTATTCAATTTGTCAGGAATGCTATGATCTGTCGTTCGATGCAGTAAACGTATAAGGGGTTTAATAGTCACATTGATACCAAAAGTAGTAGGAAGGGCTCAAACATATTTTGCTCTAAAGTGTACTTTCCTATGGATAAGTGCTTACAGTGTATGTCGATGAGTGATGATTGGAACTATAATTACCAGTTGCGTACACCTGGAGGTCAGGTGGAAGGGACCGTACATTTCCTCCTGTAGTTTGGTACCCGTCAATGGATAGAAAAACCTGACACTCGTTTTCACTAGCTGAGATAGAGGGATCTGTACATGGTGTTTGGTGAACTTAAAAATGTGTGGAATACGTTTATCGTAAATGGGTACCCGCAACGCTTAGTGATCTAAAAGCCCCTAAGCGTTTCCAGTACACTTTCATCTTACGAAAAAGTCTGCATGTGTATCTATGCAACATACGGATGATACATTGACAGAAGTTGTGTAAAGCAGGTTGTCATACCCCACTGCAAAAACGTTCCCTTTCAATCAAGTTAAAAGCTTGAGTCACCTACTGTCCATTAGTGCATCTGAGGTTTAAGAATAAAACGCCCAATTGCACTGCCTTTTTATGTACCTGTAGAACCTTCGCTTTGTTTACTTCCTTTATTGATAAGGTAGATTAATTTTATCAATAAATGATTTTTGGTTAGTTATTTAGGTAAAGCATTTGCAACACGTCATGGAAATGTTCGTAAAAGAAAGCATTACCCGTTGAGTTATTTTTTTTCAAAATGGGATCGGTGAGTGACATCTAAGTTCGATCGATAGCAGTTCACTCAAAGTAT